ACCTTTGCTGGCCTTAAATTCACTCACATCACCACTAGTTGCAGGCATTTTTCTAATTAAATCCTCATGCAACTTCCTAGCCTTTTCACATATGATCGCTTGAGAGATGCTATCTCCTGCTATCTGTTTTTCATTTATCCACACCAATAACAGTCTCTCAACATCTTCTATCACTTGCGATCTCTGTTTCAACAACAAAGTTGCACCTTTGGCAAGAACAGCTTCCTTGATTGCCATTTTCTTGGCCACAATAGTAGCAATGGTTGATTGGGGTTTACTATACAACCTGGCCAGCTCGGAGACACGCACTTCACTTTCATACTTAGCAATGATCTCTTTCTTCATATCCATAGTAATTCTCACCCTTTTTGCTGTAGGGTTGGCACTAGAAGCTTTCTTGGGGCCCATGGTCAGTTATCGTGCAGGTGAAATCACTAATAACGCTGTGATAATGCGAAATGTTCCTATTGTATGCTTGGATGTGACCGCGGAGGCTGGCTTGTAAACACTGCCACCCACGGAACAAGTGAGGCTGGCTCAGGCCTCACATGGACGCGTCTCGGACGAAAAGCGTTAAGCGAGTTTTTTAGCGCTAGGCGAGGCAAAATTTTTGTGTTAAAATGTATCGCTAGGCGGATTTAATATTATGTGATGCCATCGTTAGGCGAGGGTCGACTGTATATGCTTCTAAACTGTTGTGTTCTGAGCACCTCTGCAAAAACAGTGATTATGTGTGAGTGAGGTGAAAGTGTTAAATGATGAAAGTATTTTCATTTTGGATTTTCTGTCTTTTTGGGTCACCCTGCTTCGGTGGGAGACGGCCGACTTGTTAAAAAAAAAAAAAATCTACAGTGGTCCCTCAATAATCGTCCAGCCTGAAAGTCGGCCATTTCGGAAATAGTCCTGTTATTTCGTCTAAACATTGGCTCACAAATGCTCCGTTAACTCGCTAATAGTCCTTCGTCCGGGATGCGTACTCACTCTGAGCCGCCTGGGCCTTCCCTTCCCAGCCAGTGTGCCATTGTTTACTAGTGAGCGAAGGTCCCCTCACTTGCTCCAACAAAATATTTCATAATATTCCATTGATTTTAGTGCTTGCAAGTGCTAAATAAGCTACCATGGCTCCAAAGAAAGCTCCTAGTGCCATGCCTTTGGTAAAGGTGAGAAATACAATTGAATTTAAGAAAAACATCATTGAACAATATGAAAGTGGCGTACGTGTGCGCGAACTGGCCAGGATGTATAACAAATCCCGTGCAACCATATCTTCCATCATAGCCAAAAAAAAGGAAATCAAGGACGCTGTTGTTGCAAAGGGGGTAAATATGCTAACAAAAATGAGATCACCAGTACTCAAAGATGTTGAGAAGTTATTATTGGTGTGGATAAACGAGAAACAATTAGCAGGAGATAGTCTTATGACGTTGCTTATTTGTGAAAGGCTAGGCAGTTGCATGACAATTTGGTAAAGAAATTGCCTGCAACTTGTGGTGATGGGAGTGAATTTAAGGCCAACAAAGGCTGGTTTGAGAGATTTAAGAAGCGTACTGGCATACAGTGTGGTAAGGCATGGTGAGGCTGCCAGTTCTGACAACAAAGCGGCTGAAAAATATGTGCAGGAATTCAAGGAGTACATAAACAGTGAAGGACTGAAACCTGAACAAGTGTTCAATTGTGACGAAGCAGGCCTCTTTTGGAAGAAAATACCAAAGAGGACCTACATTACTCAGGAAGGAAAGGCACCGCCAGGACACAAGCCTATGAAAGACAGGCTGATGCTCATGTTCTGTGCTAATGTTAGTGGGGATTTCAAAGTGAAGCCATTACTAGTGTACCATTCTGAAAATCCCAGTGTGTTCAAGAAAAACAATGTTATGAAGAGTAAACTGTGTGTGTTTGGGAGATCTAATAATAAGGCATGGGTCACAAGGGACATTTTCGTCGAGTGGTTCAATGAAGTGTTTGGCCCTAGTGTGAAGAATTACCTCCTGGAAAAGAAATTGGATCTCAAGTGCCTCCTAGTAATGGACAATGCACCTGCTCATCCTCCAAACTTGGATGACCTAATTCTGAAGGAGTTTGGGTTCATCACAATAAAGTTCTTGCCCCCGAATACCACTCCTCTCCTCCAGCCCATGGACCAGCAAGTCATTTCAAACTTTAAAAAACTCTACACCAAAGCAGTGTTTCAAAGGTACTTTAATGTGACCTCAGACACTCACTTGATCCTAAGTATTCTTAAGTATTCTCCATTGCGTAAGCCTTATAGGTAAGGCTTGGGAGGGAGTGACTACCAGGACTCTGAACTCGGCTTGGAGAAAACTGTGGCCAGATTGTGTCCACAAGAGGGATTTTGAAGGGTTTGAGGCAGCCCCTGATGAGCCTATGTCAGTTGTGAACTCTGTTGTCGCACTAGGGAGTTCCGTGGGGTTGGATGTGAGTTTGGAGGATGTGGAAGAGTTGGTGGAGGACCACAGTGAAGAGCTAACCACTGAGGAGCTGCAAGAGCTTCAGCAGGAAGAGCAAGAGATCGCAGCTCAGAATCTTGCTGCAGAGGAGGAGGAAGAGAGATGGAAGAAGGTGCCTTCTTCAGAAATTAAGGAGATTTTTGAAATGTGGGGTAAGATGGAAAGATTTATGGAATAACATCACCCTGAGAAGGATGTTGCAAGCCATATCGGCAACTTGTACAGTGACAGAGTCTTGGCCCATTTTAGGGAAGTTTTAAAGAGACCCCAGAAACAGAGCTCTCTGGACAGTTTTTTTGCGAGACAGGACTCCAGTGACTCTCAAGGTGGTCCAAGTGGCATTAAGAAACAGAGAAGAGAAGTAACCCCAGAAAAGCAATTGGTACCTGAGGTGTTGATGGAAGGGGATTCCCCTTCCAAACAGTAAATAATCCAATCTGTCTCCTTCTCCGGTCTTCCATACAAGGAGAATCGCCAATAAAGGTAAGTGTTATTCTGTTAATGTTTCATTCATCATGTGCCATTGTATTGTTTATATACTACATCTATATTTCATGTAAAAAAATTTTTTGTTTTAATACTTCTGGGTGTCAGGAACAGATTAATTGCATTTACATTATTTCTTATGGGGAAAATTGATTCGAAAATCGTCTATTTCGATAATAGTCCCACTTCCAGGAACAGATTATGGAGGATTATTGAGGGACCACTGTACTTGTGATTCTTAAAAGTGGTAATGTAGATTCTTGCAATAGTATGGGGGTGTATTGTTGTTTTCAAAGCAGTGTTGGTGTTTATTTTCTTTGTCAAGAAATGGGACAGGGGCCTCCTGACATTGTAATATGTCAATTGATGACCTTTACTTGGCTGATCATTAACTGGCTTACGAAAGCTAGGTTTTACATCGCATTTGAAAATCAGAGGAACACTATGGTGCCTAGTAGTATCCTCAGCTAATGATACTGTCTGAAGCATTCAAAATATTGTTTATTTTCAAGAGTTATGTTATTGTTAGCCTTAACTCTATCCATCACCAAGGCTTACGTTTGTGCCTTGGTGCTTTTCGCTCTTCCCCTGTTGAGAGCCTCTATACAGAAGCAAATGTTCCATCCTTGTCTGATCGCCGTAATGCCCATTGCCTTCGCTACTATGTACGCTCTCACGATCTACACAATCCTTCCATTTATAGAATGGTCACCGATATTAGTAGACATTCTTTATTCGTTCGCCGCCCCTGTTTGCTCCGTCCCTTTTCTCTTCGCCTACATTCACTCTTGTCTTCCCTTCAGTTACCACCTTTATATGTTCATGTAGCATCTCACTTTCCCTACCCCCCTGGGAAGTTCCAGCTGTTCAGGTCTGTTCTTTCTCACTTCCTTGCTCGAAAGCTCAACTACCTACAGTGGCTTCCCGCTCTCTTTTTCTTGATCAATTCCACTCCCATTCTCATGCCACCGCTGTGTACACAGATGGCTCTAAGTCTTCAGACGGCGTCGGATTCGCAGCAGTGTTTCCAGACAGCGTCGTGCGGGGGCATTTACTATCTTCAGCTAGCATTTTTACTGCTGAACTGTATGCCATTCTTGCAGCACTTATTCGTATCGCATCTATGCCTGTGTCATCATTTGTAGTAGTCTCAGACTCCCTTAGTGCTCTACAGGCTATACGAAAATTTGATACATCTCATCCCCTAGTTCTCCGTATCAAACTTTGGCTACGCCGTATCTCTACCAATCATAAAGATATTGTTTTTTGTTGGGTCCCTGGTCATGTCGACGTACAGGGCAATGAACAGGCGACACTGCTGCGCGGTCAGCAGTACATGACCTACCAATTTCCTATCGAGGTGTTCCATTTCTGGACTATTTTGCTGCAATAGCTACCCACCTTCGCACCCGTTGGCAACAACGTTGGTCAACTCTGCTCGTAAAAACTTCATTCTATTAAACCGAGCATAGGTTACTGGCCGTTTTTCTTGTCATCAGTGCCGAGGTTGGGAGACCACTCTCTCCCGCCTTGCATTGGCCACACTCGTCTTACTCATGGGTATCTCATGGAGAGGCACCCTGTTCCTCTCTGTGAGCAGTGTCAAGTTCCAGTATCGATTAGCCACATTCTGTTAGACTGCCCTCTCTATCAACGAGCACGCAGAATTTACCTCCAACGTCGTTTTCGTTCTACTACTCTCTCTTTACCTTCCCTTTTTGGGCTGATGGACCCTCCTTTAATCCTGACTCTCTCATTGACTTCTTGACAACGACTGATTTGCTCCACAAACTCTGATGATACTTTTCGCACTCCCCTCAGCCCTTTCTAGTTCAGTCTCTTGCTGCCCTTTACCCTTTCACCATCCACTGCCCCGCTGTTATCCGTAACCTATTACTCATCCATCTCCCTTTTGCCACCTGATGCCCTCGCTTCCTTCCTGCCCTGCAGCGCTGTATAGTCCTTGTGGCTTAGCGCTTCTTTTTGATTATAATAATAATATGTTATTGTTTTAAAGATACTAATGTGTTATTGTTTTAATTTCAGCTTGGTGCAGATGGTGCTAAGTTGAGCTCACAGAACATGCATCTCATGAAGTACTTCCTACGTTTACTGCCATTTCTCATCTTCCCTTTTACCATGAACTTTCCTGCAGTAAGTTTTCATTTTTCACAAGTAACTGCATATGTGCGAGCTATTCGTGTATTATATCTGTCATGGTACAATACACGAATACAATTTGTTCTTCAAATTTTGATTTTGTTTGTACTGGTGAAACAATGTTAATAAAAAATTAACTTTGATGGCTATAGATTAACATTAACTACCCTAATTTGGTATTATAACTTGACAGATTATTGTAACGGTGGTTGCAAAAAAAATTTTTTTTTTTTTTAACACTTCAGCCGTTTTTCACCAAGGCAGGGTGACTCAAAAGAAAGAACTCCCCCTCCCCCACCAAAAAAAAAAAAAAAAAAAAATTTCAGTGTCATTCAACACTCAGACATAATCACTGTCTTTGCAGAGGCACCCAAATACGACAGTTTAGATAGTCACTCCAAACTGCCAATATCCCAAACCCCTCCTTTAAAATGCAGGCATTATACTTCCTATTTCCAGGACTCAAGTCTGGTTAACTGGTTTCCCTAAATCCCTTCACAAAATATTATCTTGCTCACACTCCAACAGCTCGTCAGGTCCCAAAAACCATTCGTCTCCATTCATTCCTATCTAACACGCTCCTTTACCCCCTCCCTCCAACCTTCTCGAGGACGACCCCCTACCCCGCCTTCCTTCCCCTATAGATTTATTTGTTCTCCAAGTCATTCTGCTTTGTTCCATTCTTTCTAAATGACCAAACCACCTCAACAACCCCTCTTCAGCCCTCTGACTAATACTTTTAGTAACTCAGCACCACCTCCTAATGTCTACACTATGAATTCTCTACATAATATTTACACCACACATTGCCCTTAGACAGGACATCTCCACTGCCCCCAGGCATCTCCTCCCTGCAGCATTTACAACCCAAGCTTCACCCCCATATAAGAGTGTTGGTACCACTATACTTTCGTACATTCCCTGCTTTGCCTCCATGGACAACATTTATTGTCTCCACAGATACCTCAACGCACCACTCACCCTTTTTTCTTCATCAGTTCTATGGTTAACCTCATCCTTCATAAACCCATCCACCGACAAGTCAACTCCCAAATATCTGAAAACATTCACTACTTCTATACTCCCTCCCTCCCTCCAATGTGATATCCAATTTTTCTTTATCTAAATCATTGGATACCCTCATCACCTTACTCTTATCTATGTTCACCTTCTTTCAGATATTTATTATTTTATTTATTATCACACTGGGCCCCGATTCCACCAGCAGGTGCCTGAAAAGAAAAACTTTCACAATCATTCACTCCATCACTGTTCTTTGCCAAAAAGGTGCTTACACTACATTTTTTTTAACCCTTTGAGGGTTTTTGTCTACTATAAGTCTACCGTAGGGTTTTTGACGTACTATACCAAATAAAATTCTAGGGCGGCCTCAAAATCTAGTTAAAGAAACAAAAAAAAAAAATGGCATTTATTAATAAAAAAAAAATCCTGCAGCACACAGTGCATATGAGAAAAAAAAAATTTGACCATTTTTTTAATAAATCGGGCGACTTTGCAGTGTATTTTCGTATGGTATTTATTGTTGAAATTCTAGTTTTCTTGGTCACATTTTATAGAAGGGGAAACCCAATTACGGGAAATTGAGATGATTTTGACTGGTTTTACAATGAGAGGTGCCTTGAAATTGAGCTCAAAGTAGCAGAAATGTTCGATTTTTACCAAACTTCAAAAGTAAGCAAATCGTGCCAAGCGTGCAATACACGTCAACTGGTGAGTCTAATATTCTTTCACAAGTGCACCAATAATATTTATCCCATTTTTTACACAATGCAGTAGTCCTGCATAGCAGTAAATCTTTTATTTTTGTGAGAATAAAAATTCAAAGTGGAAAGCCAAAAAATATAAGAGGGGCCTTGAGACGTGACTAATGTAGGGAAATGTCATTTTAGTGCCAGGAATGTCTTTCTTGTTTAAATTTTGGACCCTATTCGGAAATTGGCACTTTGAAATTTGTGTGAAATGGCAAAATTTGCTAAATTCTGAAACCCCTGTACTGGATAGTTGAATTTCATAAATGGGTGGTTTCTTGCACCCATTCGATAGACAAAATGGGTTCTAAACGAAATATTCATGTTTTTTTCGACTAGTACAGTGAAATTGGCCGAAAATGGGGCTCAAAATGGGCAAAATCGCCAAAGCGTAAACATCGCCGAGAACCGCTAACTTTGCGAGAGCATAATTCCTTAAGTTTTCTATCAAATTTCAAACTTTTGGTGTCTTTATGATCGGGAAAAGATTCTCTATCATTTCATAAGAGAAAATAATTTTTTTTTTTTTTAAATTTGGCCGACCCTGAGAACGAGTTTCGGAGAGGGCCTGTCGACCCTCAAAGGGTTAAACTGCAACATTAACACCCCTCCTTATTAAACAAAAATACCAACCACTCCAACAGTGGACCCTCGGCTAACGATATTAATTCGTTCCTGAGAGCTCATCATTAGACAAAATTATCGTTAGCCGAATTAATTTTCCCCATAAGAAATAATGGAAATCCAATTAATCCGTTCCACAGCCAAAAATATTAAAAAAATTTTTTTTTTTCATGAAATATACATTTCCCTACGAAGAAAACAATGAGACATGCACAATAACTATATAAATAAATGTTAAAATGACACTTACCTGTATTGATGAGTGATGAGACACTTTTTCTTGAACACTGGGATTTTCAGAGTGATACATGAGTAAAGGCTTCACTTTGCAATCCCCACTAGCATTACAACAAAACAAGAAAGTTAGCATGTCTTTCATAGGCTTGTGTCCTGGGAGTGCCTTTTCCTCCTGAGTAATGTAGGTCCTGTTTGGCATTTTCTTTCAGAACAGGCCTGTTTCGTCACAATTGAACACTTGTTGGGGTTGGAATTTTTCAGCTTCGCCATGCCTTATCACACTGTGGATGCTACTACGATTCTTAAATCTCTCAAACCAACCTTTGCTAGCCTTATATTCACCAATATGAGCACTAGTTCCAGGCATTTTTTCCTGTTCACCTGGGTATTAGTCGACTGGTGTGGGTCGCATTCCTGGGGACAAGATTAAAGACCCCAATGGAAATAAGTTGGACAGTCCTCGATGACTCACTGACTTTCTTGGGTTATCCTGGGTGGCAAACCCTCTGGGGTTAATTGTTTCTCGGTAATTGTTTCTCGTTAAGCCACACCAACAACAGTCTCTCCGCATCTTTGAATAGTAGAGCTGACGGTGGTGCAGCAGCAGCTGACTGTGGTACGATAGTATTTTGATAGTATTTCTCACCCTTTTTATCACAGGGTTGGCACTAGAAGCTTTCTTTGGGCCCATGATGGCTCATTTAACAGTTATAAGCACTATAAACAATGGAATAAAACAAAATGTATCGATTGTATACATGAAACTGGCCACCCTGGCTTGTAAACAATGACGGCAGGGCAGCTGAGACGCTCAGGCTGGACGGGCAGGTTCGGGATGAATCACATTGGGTGAGTTTTTTATCGTTAGCCAGGTCAAAAATTTTACGCTCAAATGCTTCGTTGGGCGGATTTAACATTATGCGATGTGTTTGTTAGCTGAGGGTCCACTGTAATGCCTCACACACCTCCTCCACACTCACATCCTGCTCTTCTTCACTCCTAAAAGATGTTATACCTCCCTGGCCAGTGCATGAAATTACTTCCTCCCTTTTTTCATCGACATTTAACCCTTTGACTGTCGCAACCCCAAATCCTCAGGTGTCTCCTGATGTCGAAAAATTTTTGAAAAAAAAAAAAAAATTATTTTTTTCCTCTGAAATGACAGAGAATCTTTTCCCAATGGTAATGACACCAGAAGAACGAAATTTGATGGAAATCTTACAGAATTACGATCTCGCGAAGTTAGCGACCTCGGCGATATTTATGAATCGGCAATTTCGCCCACTTTGAGCTCTATTTTCAGCTAATTCCATTGTTCCAGTCGACCAAACTCATAGCTATTTCTTTAGAACTCCATTTGTTCTATCAACTGAGTACAAGAAACTGCCCATTTACTAATTTCAACTACCCAATAATGTGGTCAGAAGTTTGCAATTTGGCCAATTTCACACAAATTAAAAAATATGCCAATTTCAAAATAGGATCCAGAATGAACAATGCAGACATTCCTGGCTCTAAAATAACATTTTCTTTGTTCATCAGTCACGTCTCCAGGCCCCTCTGTTATTACTCTTGCTTTCTATTTTGAATTTTTATTCAAACAAAAAATAGAAGAATGACTGTTATGCAGACTACTGCAATATTGTAATAATTGTGTAAATAATGTCAACTCACTCATGACTGCATATTAGAATGGCTAGTTGGACATTTATTGCACAATGACATCATTTGTTTACTTTTGAACATCAGCAAAAATCAAACATTTCCCCAACTTTGAGCTCCATTTCAAGGTTCTTTTCATAGGAAAACCAATCAAAATCACCTCTATTTGTATAGTATGCTTTCCATTCTATTAAATGAGACCGAGAAAACGAGAATACAACCATAAATACTATAAGAAAATACCCCACAAAGTCAGCGTTTTAATCCAAAAAAACGGTCGGAGTTTTTTTTTTCTCATACACTGCGTGCTGCGTTTTTTTTTATATGATGCACACTGACCACACAGACCCATTCTCTCACATGTGGGCCTACCAGCTTTCTCCTGCTTGATTTGAAGCCACTAGAATTTTTGAGTATATATACGTCAAACACGGTGGCTCATAAGACATATATATACGACCGAAACCGTCAAGGGGTTAAGTTCCTCAAAATATTCCCGCCATCTACCCAATACCTCCCTCTCACCACCTACTAACTCCCCTACTCTGTTTTTAACTGACAGATCTATTCGTTCCCTAGGCTTTCTTAACTTGTTTATCTCACTCGCATATTTTTAAAAAACAAACATAAATAAATGGATTATAAAAAAATATTTCTCATTTGTTACACTTTTTAGCATTTATTTTATCTAATAACAATTTATTTACAGGCTGTGTTGTGCTATTGGGTCTCTACCAATGTGTTCTCACTGATACAAGTGGGATTTCTCAAGATCCCAGCTGTTAGAAACTACTTCAAGATTGAGGCATCTATTCATCATAAAAAAGGAGACATTGCCTCAGCAGAATAAGGGAATGGTAGAAGGCTTCAAGGAATGTGAGTTGTCATAATCATTCGAAGTTTTGAAGAAAAGGGATGTTTAGGGAAAGTAGCTAGGAGGGGGAAAGTAAGTGTTGAAAATTTAGTAATGTTGTTATCATGAGAAAGGGCTAAACTATAGGGAAATGAGAGGCAATAAGATTTGAGCCAAGGAAGGGAAGGATACATCCAATTTCCTGAATGGGAAATATTGTAGACAAGTGAGGGCAGTTAGCCAGTCTTGAGTCCAGCAAGTAGGAAGTATGCATTCTAAAGGAGGAGTAGGGAATGCTTGCTGTTTGGAGGGTCATCTAAACTGTCTTATCTGTGTGCCTCTGGTAAGATAGTGATAATGTGAAAGATGGTGAAAGTGTTTCTTTTTTGGGCCACCCTACCTTGGCGGGAGACAGTGTGTTAAAAAAATGAAAGGATTGATAAAAATTATAAGTATATATTTTAATAGGGAAGGGGATATACCTAAATTTAGAGAGAGGACTGAGAGGAGAGATGAAGAGAGAGAGAGAAAAGGGAGAGAAGACTGACGACTGACTTTGAATGCCTTTATGTAAATCGGTGTAACCCATGTGTGATTTAATCAAATCTGACCCTTTTTTTCTGAAAGTCTGTAATTCAACACTAAGTGTAAGTCAACCCTGTTCTGAGGGTTAATTAAAATGTTAATGTAAAGTACTAATAGTCACAAACACATGACATGACTTTCACCTTCCTGTCCTACTGTTGTTTAAAATATACATAGATTTGTGTTCCCAGCAATTTTGGTACATGGGAAGTTTTTTTGTTTTTTTCCAACCAGTCGGCCGTCTTTCCACGAGGGCAGGTGACCCAAAAAAGAAAGAAAATCCCAAAAAAAAATACTTATTTAGCTGAAGATGGTCACTTGTTTATCTTATCAATCCACTGTGAAAGGTGACATTTAATGAGCGTCATTAATGTTATACCCCACAAATGACAAGTGGTGAATTTGATGAGCATTGTCATCTTATCATTCACTAATGATAGTGGCGAAAATTGATGAGCCTTCGCTTTTTTGCTTTCACTGCTACCAAAACAGCGTCTATCTGTTGTCTTTCTGTCTGCCGTGGTTTCTGTCTGTTTTCTTCATGTCTCAAGTTGTCTGAAGCAGCTGGTTTAAATGATACTACAAGTGCAATTAGCAACTTTGGATTTTTGGTATTTCTTAGGTAATTTTCACTAAATTATAATTGTATTTACATGGTGTTTAATTAGAAAGAGACAGTGACAAAAGAGATAACAGAGATAGATACGAAACAGACGATGAGATAGAGACAGCTAAACAGCCCGCCTGCGAAATAGTTCCCGAATGTTTCTATGCTTTGAGAATAGGTTTTAGGACCTTCTGGCAGGATACTTTTCTTTAAAAGGGAGTGTTAATACGACTGACATGACATCAGTGACCTGTGTTTGCCAGTTGTTTGCTCTAGTGGCACAATTGACTGGTGCTCCCAGGGAAATACAAGTGGGTCCAGATTTTTTTATCTGTGCACATCAAGGGTTAAGACCCTTTCTGTGCTGACCAGCATCTTAGGCCAGTGGTGCCAAATTGAAAGTGAAAGTGAAAAATAGATAAGAGTAAAGGTGAAGAGGGATCATATGATTTAATAAGAAAATTAATTCACATTGGAGAGAAGGATATGGAAGAAGTGAATGTTTTCAGATATTTGGGAGTTGATGTATCAGCAATGGGTTTATAAGATGAGGTTAACGTAAAATTGTGAGGGAAAAAAGGGGATTGATTAGGTTTTAGCCTTTCACTGGACAAAAAATGTTGAATATGTTGTCCCCCCTTTCTGGGGCTGCCGGTGTTTCCCCCGGCCCTTTCAAATTTCCCCCCACT